GAGGAGGAGGAGGAGGAGGAGGACGACCCCGACACGCTGGAGCCGTGTGCCATGTTCTCGGGCCGCAGCGAGCCGCCGGCGTTCCCCAGCCACGAGGCCGGGCTGGGCTGCGAGGCGCAGTGCAGCTCCAAGGCTCAGCCCCGCAGCCTGGCCCGCGTCAGGAAACCTGCAGAGAGGGACTCCGGGGACATGAAGCCGGCCAGCGGCCAGCAGCGGAACCGGACGCGGGAGAGACCCTACATCTGCCCCGAGTGCGGGAAGAGCTTCATGCTCAAGATCAACTTCATGATCCACCAGCGCAACCACCTCAAGGAAGGGCCCTACGAGTGCCACGAGTGCGACCTCAGCTTTCGCAACAAGCAGCAGTTCCTGCTGCACCAGCGCAGCCACACGCGCCGCGGCGTGGGGGTCCCGCGGCGCCCCGAGCACGGCCTCAAGCCCCAGGCGCGGCCCCCGCCCCCGGGGAAGCCCTACAAGTGCTCCGAGTGCGAGAGCAGCTTCAGCCACAAGTCGAGCCTCAGCAAACACCAGATCACCCACGTCGGGGAGCGGCCCTTCACCTGCGGCGAGTGCCGGAGGAGCTTCCGCCTGCAGATCAGCCTGCTCATGCACCAGAGGATCCACGCCGGCAAGAACGAGATGGCCTTCCTGTGCCCCCAGTGCGGCAAGAACTTCACCAGGCCCTCCCACCTGCTGCGGCACCAGCGGACTCACACCGGCGAGCGGCCCTACCAGTGCAGCCAGTGCGAGAAGACCTTCAGCGAGAAGTCCAAGCTCACCAACCATTACCGCATCCACACGCGGGAGCGCCCGCACGCCTGCGCCGTCTGCGGGAAGGGCTTCATCCGCAAGCACCACCTCCTGGAGCACCAGCGCATCCACACGGGCGAGCGGCCCTACCACTGCACCGAGTGCGGCAAGAACTTCACGCAGAAGCATCACCTCCTGGAGCACCAGCGGGCGCACACCGGCGAGCGGCCCTACCCCTGCACCGAGTGCACCAAGTGCTTCCGCTACAAGCAGTCGCTCAAGTACCACCTGAGGACGCACATGGGAGAGTGAGGGGCTGCCGAGGCTTCCTCTCCCTCCCTCCATCCCTCCCTTCCTTCCTCCTCGTCCTCCTTCTCCTCCACTGATCTCTCCCACCCTTCCCTCCATCCATCTCCCCCCACCCCGGCTCAGGGCATGGACATCAAGGAAGCTTTGTGTGGTAGCGCCGCTGGTCTGGTGGAGACTCGGCTGATTGGAAATAAATTAATGAGTTAAAGCAAGCAACGCGCGGCAAAATTAAAAGATTATATATATATATAAAAAATTAACAGAAGCAGCTGATTTAGGGGGAATCCTCACCAACAAGCAAACAAACCACCAACAAAAGAAACCTGTACACAGGGTGTTTTGCCGGAGCAGGACTCATAACTGCTTTTTAAATCTACTGTTTGGTTTTTTTTTTAATAAATGTGGAGGAACTTTTTATTTGATAAGCAACTTTAGGGTGGGCAAGATTTTATTTTTGTTTTTTGTTTTTTTGTTGTTTGTTTTTTTTTGTTTTGTTTTTTTGTTTTTTGGTTTTTTTTGGTTTTTTTCTGTTTGTTTTGGGTTTTTTTGTTTGTTTGGTTTTTTGTTTTGTTTTGTTTTTTGTTTTGTTTTGTTTTGTTTTTTTTGTTAACTGCTCTTTAGGCTGATTCTGGCACAGTCACTTTTTGTCCAGGAGCTCTGTGGAGGAGCTGCCTCGTCCAGGTTGGATGTGACAGGAGGAGCTCCAGCCAGGGGGAGGTGAGTAATTAACAGATGCAGCTAATGAGGAAGTTCTGCGTGTGTCTAGATTGGAAGCGCTGATAGGTGCCTGCCCAGCTCGCGGGGCTGTGATGCACTCGTGAATTATACAATAGAATAAAATTCTAGTTGCAGTAAAAGATCCTTTTTCTGGTAGGACCCCTGCAAAGGCTCCTCCAAACACTCATTCCTAGTGTTGCTGGCCCTGCCACCACCCAGGGCATTGGGATGCTGTGGGGCTGGCCATGGGGTGCTGTGGGGTCAGCAGGGACTGAGAGCAGAACCTTGTTGTGTTGAACTGCTCTGCTGTCCTTGAGCTGCTGCTGGTGGCATCGACCGTGCTCTCCTTAATGGCAGGAGCAGCAGAATTCCTGCCCAGGGGAGGAGCAGCTTCAAGGAAAGACCTCCCTGCTCTTGGGCACCTGCTGCCAGGATGGGTGGGACACGATCCATCTCGCTGCTGTTGAGCTCCTGTTTGTACCAGCTCGGTTCCTGGGGATCCCAACTTATCCTGGCTGCAGTTCCCGAGGCTGGGCTGTGGCTGGATGAGATCCATCCGAAGGGCTGGGCCAGGCTGGGGTGGTGGCATCAGCTGGGGCTGGGGTGGTGACACCAGCTCCCCGGAGGACACGGGGCTCCTTCCCGGCACTGTCACATCTCGTGCTGGACAGTGGCATCAATAAACTGAGCGATGATGAGAGAAGTTGTTGGGACCTGTTAATGCCTTTGCAGAACCAAAATCCTAATCCAGGACTTTCCTGGTGTATGAATCCCTCCTAAATTGGGATTTATGGTCTCTTCCGTGCTAGAAAGTGCCAGAGGGCAGCGCAGCCACGTGGAGCTGCTGAGAGCCACCAGCTGGTCAGTGCTATGGGTGGGAACATTTTTGGGCTGCCAGGGCAGGCTCCTGCCAAGGTTCCTGCCTTCCCACTGCTGGGGTGGTGCCTGCAACTCCCTGGAAGAAGTTTGGGGTTTCAGGTCAGGGCGTGCTGTCTGATAGGAGCTGACACTTCCATCTCTGAAAGTTGGCCAGGCTGGACAAGGCTTTGAGCAACTTGGGATAGTGGAAGGTGTTCTGCCCTTCCAGAGAGGGGGAACAGGATGAGCTCGGAGGTCCCATCCCATCCAAACCATTCTGGGATTCCATGAAAATTGCTTTGGTGGGGCTGATGTCCTGGGAGGGAGGTGTGGGGGCAGGACAGGAGGGCCTGGCTGCAGCTCTGTGTCCCTCAGCAGCCTCTCTGCATCCTCCTCACGAGGACTAAATGCAATTATAGGGAAGAAGCAAATGAAAAGCAGAACTGAATCTGCTTCTCTGTGGCACTGCCAGCGACACAGACCTGGCAGAATCATTTTTTCTTCCTAAAAATGGTTAAGTTCAGCTTTTTATCAGCAAAATAAAAGCTGAGGTGTCTGTACTAGCCTGGCTGCCCCTCGCAGTGCCAGGACGTTGGTGTGGCCAGGCTGGCAGTGGCCATGCTCTGCTCTGTGTCACTGTGCCCCACACAGCAACTCCTGCCCCTCGAGCCTGCCACACACAGATCTAACAGCCTCGGTCACTGGACACTGCCAGGATTTAACAACATCCTGGTGACCTTCAGCAGCTCAAATGTCACCAACCCGTGTGCACAGGCAGCTCCTGTGCCAGTGGGACAGCACAGCCATCGTGGCCCTGAGTGCAGGTGGCAGTGACTCCAAAAACGACAGTGTTGGGAATTAACAGCATTGTCCCATGGTGGGACACTGACTCGGTGGCTCCTGTCCCTGCAGCTTGAGCTGGTGACATTCACCCAGCCCTCTCTGGACTGTGGTGCTGGAAGAACTGGACACAGATGCACCCAGAAAGCAGCTCCAGGAACAGGGGACGAGCAGGAGCCACTGCTATCCCCACCCGGGTGTGAGATGGGCAGTGTAACCCCAGGCAGCAGCCGAGACTGCAGACAAGTGGGGACATCAGGCTGTCACCCCGGGGTGCTGCAGGGACAGTGGGCAGTCGGAGCTGCTGGGTCCACTGGGGCAGAGGAGCTGTGGGGTGGCAGGGACACTCGGCAGGGCACAGCCATGGCAGGGCAGCAACTGCCTGGAGAGGGATTTGTTTGATTGCTTTATCGTGTCAGGGGGTGCATGATGCCCCCCAAAACACTCCTTGGATGCTGGCTGGCAGTACATGAGGGTGAAGGAGGAGCAGAACCCGTGGGCTTGGTTTTGGGCAGCCAGCACGCTCTGGCACTGAGCCCATGGCAGCAGCACAGAAGGGACAGTGTGAAGAAGCACAAGGCAGCTCCAGGGGCTCTGCTTCCCTAAGTGCTGCTGCTGCTCTCCAGGTGAGAGTGAAGGAGACACTGGGAGAGGCACAGGCAGCCATGGAGTGCAGGGATGGAGGCTGGAGCCCTCCTGCCCCGGTGCTTTGGGGGGGTTTCAGGCCGGGCCAGTAGCACAGGTTTACCCTCGGCTCCCTCACAGCACAGCTGCAGCCCCGCCACAATCCCTTCAAACTGCATTAACCCAGCCCAGGTGGCCGGGAAGCAGCTCCGGCGAGCACCAGGCCTGGGGAAGGAATTTCCACTCGCCAGGACTGAGCCAGGGGGAAGCTCCCGGACGCGTTCCAGGTAATTAATGATTAAATTAATTTAAGCATCCCAAGCATCCGCAGGCGCTGGCAGCACCATGCTGGAGCGTGCCGGCTGTGCCCTGGGGGAAGGCTGGGATGAAGGCTGGGATGAAGGCTTGCACTCACACTCACACTCACGCTCCCACTCACCCCAGCCCTCCCCTTCTGTGGCCGCTGCTGCATCCCCGCTGGCGTGGGCTGCCCACGGGCACACACAGCACACACACGGCTCCGTGCCCGTGTCCCCCCGGGGTTTTCCTGCTCCTTCCTCCCCTGCTTGCACACACACACACACATACGGACACGGACACACGTGCGTGTGTTGGGAGATCCAGGCACAGGAAAACACACAGGGAGAGACGGGGTCACACAGAGGCACACACATAGACACACGTGTGTGACGTGGATGCGCACACACACTCACACATGTGTGTAGTGACATAAGGACGCACACTCACACGTGTGTGTAATGACATGGACGCACACTCACACGTGTGTGTAATGACATGGACACACACACTCACAATCACCCCCAATCCAGCCCCTGCCCCTCAGCCCCGCCCGTTCCCGTCGAGCCGTGGTCCAGTCCCGCCCCATCCCGTCCATCGCGGCCATGGCTCAAGAGGTGCTGGCCCTGGGCAAGCAGCTGGCGGCCGAGACCACCTGCCCGCTGTGCCTGGAGTTGTTCAGGCAGCCCGTGCTCACGGCGTGCGGGCACAGCTTCTGCCAGCAGTGCCTGGCAGCCGTGCTGGGGGACCCTCCTCGCCCCGCCGCCTGCCCGCAGTGCCGCTCCCCGGTGCAGCCGGACTCGCTGCGCCCCAGCCTCTCGCTGGGCGCCGTGGCGGAGCTGGCCCGGGCCATGGAGGGGGTGGCGACCCGGGCGCGGTGTCCCCAGCACGGCTCGCTCATGGAGCTGTTCTGCGAGCCGTGCGCCGCCCCGCTGTGCGCGCTCTGCTGCTCCGGCCTCCGGCACCGCCCGCACCGCGTCCTCCCCGCCGAGGAGGCCGCCCGGGAGCTGCGGGTACGGGGCTGGGGGCTTGGGGAGGGGCCGAGGGGCACAGATCAGGGTTCTCCCCGGCCACAGGTTGGGATCCCCTCCGCGCGTGGTTTGGGGCCCCTCCAGGGACAGGCAGGGTCCCCTCTGGGCACAGGTTAGTGTTCTGTCCGGGCACACCGCTGGGCTCGCTGCAGGGACGGTCTGGGGACTGCTCTGGGTACGTGTCTGGGTCCCCTCCATGCATGGGTGGGTCTTCTCTGAGCACGGTCTGACTGCCCTCCACACACAGGTTAGGGTGTGTCCCTGGCCAGACATGGATTTAGGAGCTCACCCAACTGCTGGCTGGGCTCCCTGTCTGGGTACCAGTTTGGGGTCCCCATCTGTCTGTGGGCTGGGGTCCTGTATCCCACCCTGCTGAGGCTGCTGGTTCTCCCATTGCCTGGCCCCAGCCCACCCAGGTCCCTCTCACTGCTCACCCCTCTGTGTCCCTTGTGCCCCAGATGTCCCTAGCCAGGGTTTCTCCCCCACAATGTGGGTCTCGGCTCACTGCAACACAAGAGATAACTCAGAGCATGAGGAGTTTTTTGATACTCCAGCAAATTTATGGAGCATGTCTGAGTCCCTGCTACTGTCACTGCAAACCTCTTTCCAGGAATCCCACTTCCAATGTCGAAAGTTGGTTTTTTTCTAATTAAAAAAACAATTTAAAAAAATTCCACAAACTCTAGGGTTTCACATGAAGTTATTCCATAAATGTTTCTGGCCATAAGAGCTGTGGATGGGGATCTCCCCAGCCTGACTAAAGTGAGTTTGGAGAGGTAGGTGCTGTCTCTGAGCTCAAAACCCACTCCCAGGCACTCAGGGGTCACCCCCAGTGACTCCCCAGACTGGGATTGTCTCCACAGGGGTTGTTTGGTGACATCATCTCCTTCCTGCAAATATGGCTCCAAAATTACCAAAAATGCATTTTTTAAATCCAGAATACGCTCCAGAGCAACCTGGTTTTTCTGCAAAAACAGAAGGAAAGACTGAAGCCCAAAGGAGACCAGAAAAGTCGTGATCTGCTGGTGTGTGTTCCTCTCCATGCCCCCCACTGCTCACCCGCCTGGCTCCCCAGGAATGTCCCATCTTTCCCTCTCCCCATGTATCTTTGTCTCCTAATCCATAACAGCATTCTCTTCTCTCTCCCTCTCTGTCCATCTCATACGGCCTCCTTGGGCCCATCAACATCCAGACTTGCCACCCCTCTCTCCGTTCTCCCGGGTATGTTCTTTTCCCGTACAAAAGCTCTGGTCCCGTCCTGTGTGATCTTGGCCCCCTGTCTGCAGCAGCCGTGTCCCTGCAGAGGCTGCTGGAGGCTGGGCGGGCTCAGGGCCTCCGTGGGTGCCTTGCAGATGACGGTGATGATGGAGCTGAAGCGTGTGCCCGAGACCTTCAAGGAGCTGCAGGAATTCCTGAAGGAGCAGGAAGAGATCCTGGTGGGCCAGCTGGAGCAGGTGTCCCAGGAGCTTGTCAAGAGGAGGTGTGAATACAGCTCCAGGGTTTTGGAGAGGGAGTGGCTGCTGGACATGATGATTGCACAGATCAAGGAGAAGCAGGACCAGCCGGTGGTCGAGTTCCTCATGGTGAGGCTGCATCCCCGCACTGGGCACTGTGACTCCTGGGGCACCCACCTGGCACCCTCCACACCCTGTGCCTGCTGTGGATTGGGGCCCTGAGGCCAGGGAGGGTTGGGATGAGGTGTGGGGTGACACCCAGCCCCCTTAACCTGCTTCAAACAAGCACTGTAGCTCCCTTGGCAGGGCCAGAGCTCATGTGTGTTTTCTCTTCCAGGATGTTGGCGAAATCCTGAGCAGGTATGAAGCAGGCTTGGTGTCCCTCTCCTCCTGCACAGCTCATTTGGGCAGAGGTTTGGGAGTGCTGCAGGAACCGGGAGGGAGGCGGTTTTTCCCTCTGAGTGTTTGGGATTTCATGTGATGTTACTGGGAACCCCTCCTAAAGATGGGGTTCCTGTGCTGATAGCTGGGACACAGCTCCCCTGGGTTGTGTGGCTGCAGGGATTTCCCTGTTTCCCTCCTGGCCCTGGCTGGTGCCTGGGCTCCAAGCTCCTCTCCCTGTTGTTCCACTCAGCTGTAAGGCAGCCAGGGCCCCGATCCCAAAGCCCGTTTCCCCCAAGCTGCAGAGGAGCGTTGAGAGCCTCTCTGAGATGAGCCAGCGGGTCGTGGACATGGTGGCCAAAATCACAGGTAACGCTCTGCTGACTCCGTGCTGTCCTTCCCCTGGGCTTGGCTGGCAGCAGGAAATCCTCACTGCCTGCTGCCTCTGCCTGGGGCTCAGGAGCAAAGTGCCTGCTCCAGATGGCAACCATCCCTGAGATGGGCTCCACATCTGGCTTGCTGTCCTGATGGGGAGCAGGAAAAATGCAACAGGAGAGACACTCATGCATCTTCCTTTCCTTCTTCCAGTGAACCTGCGGAGTGAGATGGACTGGGAAAGGGGTAAGTTTCTGGGGCTGATGAGCACAACTGAGGAGGAAAACCTTTCCAGGATGAGTTTCCTCGTGTCCTTGGTGCAGAGATAGGCTTACACCACATCTAAAGCCAGCATCTGTCTAGAACTGAGTCCTATTGTTTTAACTAGCCTGCTATAAAAGTGCAGGTCTGTCCTCGTGCCAGGCAGTACCAGGGATGCTGTCCTGCGACACCAGGCGAGGGCCACGACAGCACGAGGCCGTGTCAGGCTGTGCCCAGTTAAGCAGAGGGGCTGTACTTGTTTTTAGCTGGCATTTAAATATGATCAGAGGTTCTTTGGCAGGTGCTCGGGGCCCATGTGATGCAGCATTGCTGAGCTGAGACCATTTGTGCCGAGGCCGCTCTCCACACTCAGTTTTTGGGATGATGCACTTGAGCACAGCACAGTCGTGCCTCAGTTTCCCCCCTGCAGTCCCCTGAGGAATGGGTTTAGCAGAAGGTCTGGGGTGGTGACACTGCACAGTGACACCTGTGCAGCTTTGTGGGATGGCCACGGGATGGCAGCAGAACATTCCTCATGGATGGGCAGCTCCGGCTCTGGAGTTGCCTGGCTGCTTGGCAGAGCAGGGTTCCGAGCTGGGTGAGCACTTGTCACAGGAGCAGGGACTGGCCTGGCCCCTGTCCTGCCTGGCAGCAGTGCCCCCTTACCCACGGGATACACTGCTCCCCACAGGCAGCAATAGCCACCAGATCTGGGAGCAGGTTTAGCAAAGCCCCTTGTGTCTGTCCCCTGCATGTGGGGACGCTGCCGGCCTCAGGGAGCAGCTTTTCACCTTGGGTCCCAGCGTGGGGACAGTAAGGGTCCTGTGTCCCATTTTGGTCCCAGTTGTGCTCCCTGGACAGGGTGGAGAGGTGCTGGTTCTCTTCTCAGCAGGCACAGACTGATGTTTCCGTCATCCATTAGAGCAGGTGACTCTGGACCCAGAGACGACAAGTCCTTACCTGATGCTTTCACGGGACCACAAAACCATCTGGCATGAAAATAGAAAACGAAACCTCCCTGACACCTCCAAGAGGTTCACGGGCAGCTTCAGCGCCCTGGGCTCCCAGGGCTTCACGTCTGGGAGGCATTACTGGGAGGTGGAGGTGGGGAAGGGGGGCGACTGCGCCGTGGGAGTGGCCCTGGAGTCTGTGCCGAGGAAGGAGTCGCTCAGCCTGGCCATGGAGAAGATCTGGGCCCTGCGACTGGCCTGGGACGGCCAGTACAGAACATTCAGCGTGCCCCCTGTCCGCCTGGCATTCAGGGAAGAGCTGCGGAGAATCAGAGTCCACCTGGACTATGAAGCGGGCCGAGTGACCTTCTACAACGCAGAGAACATGGCACAGATCTTGCAGCTTGAGGCCACCTTCACTGAGGAAGTCTTGCCGTATTTTTGGCTCTGGTCTAAAGAAACGCACATCCGGCTGTGTGACTGACGGAGTCGGATCCGTCTGTCCTCCCTGCCTGTGCCCTTGGCTAGCTGAGCAGGGAGGAGCTGTGGGAATGACACAGCATCACACTGCACACTCCCTGCAGCTCTGCTTGGGCTGGATGCCCTCTGCCATTTTCTCTGTCTCCTGCTGCTGAGTCCTGTGGAGCATTAAAGAAGTGCTGTCCTGCCTGGGGGTGTCTGCGTGCTGGTATCCTGGCTAGATCCCATAGGGATGGAGTCCTTCCTCTTCCTGTGGGCACTGAGGCCGTAGGATAATCGGGAGGGAGGAAGGAAGAGGCTCTGATTGTCCATGCCAGCCTTTGGCAGCACTGCATGGCTTGTTGCAGCTGTGCTGTGCTGTTCTGTGCTGGAGGATTTCCCTTCACAAAGGAATTCAGGCTGGAGCCATGAGCTGATAATAGGGGTGATAACTGCTCAAAAAGTTTGTAAAAAAGGAAAATGTTCAGGGAGGGAGAGTGGGAGTGAGGGCACACCTGGAAGAGCAGCAGGAGCCGGGGGTGTGATGGGGGTCTCTGAGGTCTGGGATGGTCAGGAAAGGAACAAACACTGTCTAAGCCAGGAGCATTGTGTGACTGGTGGGTGGCAGGGCCCAGGCAGGGGGACACGGGTTGTGGGTCATGTCCTGGAGATCCCCTGGATCCAAAATGATCAGCTGAAGACAGCAGCCTCCGGAACCACTGGAGAGACATGGCAGAGGATCTGCCAGGGACTGACAGCACAGACCTGCTAACCCTGAGCTGAGGAGAAGCTGTGTGTCCTGAAGAGTTTATGTGGAGTAAAAGTGGGGGATTGTCAAGTGTCCCTTCTCCAGCTTGTCTCTCCCTGAACCCCATCCTGGTGTCACACGGATGTGCCCTGCTTTATTCCTCCATCTGCTCACCAAATGCCTCGTAAAGTGGCTTTTGTTCTCATGGGGAGCTCATTTGATAAGAAATTATGTGGGAAGGGCTCTTTGAGGAGAAATCATGTGTGAAGCACTCTTTGTCTCAGCGAGGCCGTGCCATCTGCTGAGTCTGTGCCTTCTTTCCTTTATCTTCCCCATTTTCTCCTCACGCCCAGGCTAAAAGGAGACGGCCGGAAACATGGTAGCAAAGCGGCGCCCCTGTTAGGCGGGAACTACATTCCCCACCATGCGGCGCAAAGAGCGATAACGCTGCACGCCTGCTAGGAATGCTGGGAAATGTAGTCCCCCCGGGCTGGCGCGCATCCCTCCCACTCCGGATTCCTCGCTTTTCTATTGGTCCAGAGCGACGCCAAGCAACCGCTGTGGGCGGGGCCTGGCGGCGGCGCCGCCGTTCCTACTGGCCAGGGCGCGCGCGGTGGGAGGGGAGGTTTGAAAAAAAACAACCCGGCCCCGCGGGACGCCGCGCGCTGATTGGCTGAGCCGCGGTTTGGCGCCAGCTTTGGAGCGGGCGACGGGTACCGGCTGGGGTCAAAGCGCTGCGGCAGCCGCGCTGACGGCAGGAGCGGGACGTCTGCGCTGGATTCCTATTCCCACTCCGATGGATCCCACCCCGAGCGTTTCCCACCGCCGCCGCCTCCTGCTTCTCCCGCCGGCGTCTCCCGCCTCGCCCGCCGTGGTTAAGGCGCTCTTTCAGGATGAGCTCTCGCCTGTCTCGGATCTCCGCCTCACCATGGAGCAGCTGGGGCGCGGGTGAGTCGGGGCGCGGGGCCCTGCGAGTGCTGGGCCCGGGCACCTCCTTCTTCTCGTCTCTGTCGTGACCCCCCCCAAAAAAAATGCGAGGTTTGGAGGGCTTATCCCCCGCTTCTTCCTCCCGTGGAGAGCCCCTTCCTCTTCTTCTCCACTCCTACGAGCCCTCCGGGGCACTTTGTCCCCATTCCAGGGCGTTTTTCCCCCTCTCCAAGACGTTTTCTTCCCCCTCCCGGACCCGAAGCGAGGCCTAGAGAGGCTCCCCCATATATAAAAATCCCCAAGGCCTCCAGGAGTGGTTTTCCTTCCGTTCCATCCACCCCCGTAATTCCCTCCCGCGCAGTGAAGCCTTATGGAATTCCCGCTCCCCAAAGAAACCCCAAATCCCTGGCATGTCTTTATCCCCCCAAAGCCCCAGGGATGCCTTTTAACACCCCCCCTTCCCCAGATCCTCCGGAATGTCTTTACTCCCTCCTCGCCACTGCAAGGTCTCAGGAACTCATTTCCTTCTCTATTCCTCCCTTCCTTAAGCAAGGCCTCGGGGTGCCCATCTGCCCTCACCCCCCAAAAAAGAGTGAGGCCTCGTGGATCCCTCCTTGTCCTTTCCCCCCACCCCCCTGTGGAGGCCTTGGGGGTCTCTTCATGCCCTCCTCCCCCAGGATTGAGGCATTGAGGGCTCATTCTGCTTCCTCTCCTCCCAGGCCCCCTGTCCACACCTAAAACCGAGGCCTGCGGTTTTCCCAACCCTTCCCCCAAAAACGAGGCCTCCCGGAGCTGTTTCTTCTCCCCACGTCCACCATGAGGCCTCGGTTTTATCCCTCCCGCCTTGCAAACTTCTATGCCTCCCTTAGGATCTTCCACCCCTTTGCTGATTCCTCCCCTCTGTTCTCTCCTCCTGTCCCCATCCCACATGGATCCACGCTCTGGGACACCTTTCCCCGGCCCTGCTTCTGCTCTGGCCTTCCCCTTCCCTCGTGAGCCATTCCTTGGGATTCCCTCTCTCCCAAAAATACTTTTGTGTCCCTTCCATGTCCTTCCATCCCAGCCCTGTTCCTGCATCCTCCTCCTCTTCTCTGTTCTGTCTCCCAGGTGCTGCAGTCTCTGGGCTCTGCAGTTCCTGTCCTGTTCCCACAACTCCAGCCACAGCTGCTCCGTTTTCATGCTCTCTTAACTCTTCTAATCCCATTATTCTCACAGTTTCTCCCTTGTGTGGCTCCTGTTTTGTCCTGGCCCACTCAGGTCTCAATGGGTTTTGTTTGTTGATTTTCTGGCATTCTCCTTTCTGCAACCACCTGCTTTATGGTCCTTCAGATTCCTGAATTCCTGCAAACCATTGGCAGTGCCCCCCATGGAAATTATTCAGCCCTTTGATTTTGTAGCACTGGCTAATTTTTTTTTTTTTTTTAAATTACCAGTGTGCTGGAACCTCACTCAAGTAGCTTTTCCCTTATATGTGTGGTGCTCCATATGATTTTCTTCTCTCTCAGCACTGAGGTTTAGCATATAAAACAAAATCTGGGAGGTAACTATTTATCGAAATGTGCTTGAATTAGCAATTTGGCAATTTTCTCTATGCAAAATCTGATTAAAGGAGTGGCTACCGAAGAGAGGGTTGCAGTTCCAGGAAGGATAACTGGGCTCTGATGGAAATCCAGGTGATGCCCACCTGTGCTGTACCTACCTGCAGTGTTTTATTTCTTGCTTTTAAAACAAATCCCAAATTTCCTTTGCAGGCAGTGTGAAAACCTGGACCAAGACATGGGAACCAAAAATGGATTACACAGATCATCATCTTCAGAGTCCACAGACTCAGGTGGGGCTTCCTTAATTACTAAACAATGATTAGGAATTGGAAAGCAATGAATATTACGTGGCACCCAGGGTTTGGAGAGGGAGCTATCCCTGCCTGCAGCTCATGGTTTGGGCTGTGGATGTGTTTTTGGGTTTTTTTTTGTTTAATTGTCCTGGAGACTGTGACCAGTAGAGAGGGAAAACAAGTCCTCACTGTGTGTCCTGTGTTTTCCTGTTAGCAAGAGCTGGTTGATGATGTGAAACCCCTCAGTTCTGGTACTTCCTGGGAGGGTTTCCTGTTTTTCACCTGTTTTTCACATGAGATGTTTTATCGTGAAAATGAAATAAGTTCTCACCCCATAACTTGTAGATCCTCTCTGGTGCTTCACTGCTGCATCTCAGGGCATTCGCTGTTTCTACCGGGATTTATGCCCCATTGTGAGGGCACTTTCAACCTAAAAAAGAACTTCATGAGGTGCTAAAGGACAAGTACAGCTCACAAACCACAGAGCAGGACAGAGCAACCAGCCTTGCTAAATCTTCACTTTCTGTGGCTCCTCAGGAATCCATGTTGGAGTGATTTGGATCTGTCTGTGCTGAAATGCTGTGGGGCTGTAAAGTTGTGCTTGGTTTGTGTTTCTGAAGTGCTTCCTTTTCATTCCAGGATATTCAGAAGGGCCTTTTCACACCTTTTTTTTGGAATGAGCCCAAAATTTCTTTGTAGAAGGGGGTGTAACTAAAAAGCCAAAACCCTAAAGGACTGAATTGTTTATTAAGATGTGTGGTGGATAAAGAGTATTCCATGCTGAGTGCCAGCACTCTATTCCATGTGGCAGCCCAGGCAGGGCTTGGGGGGCTTTTCTAAATTATCCTTGTTTTTCCCCAAGCCCTGGCACCTGATAATCCACTCCCAAACCCCTATTGGGGAGTGGCTGTAACTCTTATTTATTCTGCACTGAGGTGAGGCTGCAGATGGGGCTTTCCACATGAGTTTCCTGGGTCTTTCTGTGGAAATTTGTAGCTGATTAAATACAAATGGATATAAATCAGTGGGAAATCTATGTCTCATCTGCAGGTTTGGCTTTGGATTCTCCCGGGCCTGCGACCTCACACGACACCATGGAGGACACGTGAGTACCCCAGGCTCGTGGAATCATTAACAAACGTGGAATCATTAACAAACCTGGGCTAATGAGGCCTGGGGGGGGTTTTCTCTGCTGGCACATGTGCTCTGGGGCTTCCCTGCTGCACCTCTCCATGTGCTCCACAGCTGGAATGCTGGGATTGGCCCTGCCCATGCCCTGGAGTGCTGGCTCTGAGCAGTGCCAGCTACATGGCACTGGCACCTCCCTGCAGGCTGGGGCTGCACCAAGGTCTATCTAAATTGCATTTTTAAACACTTGATTTAAATCTGTGCCTTAACAACTACAGAATCATTTAATTTGTCCAAGTCCTCTAAGGTCTTCAAGTCCAACCTTTGATCTTTTGCTTTTAGGTTTGAGAAAGCAATCAAATCCAGCAGGCTGAAGTAAGTATAATTTTATTTTAAATTCTTCCTCAGTGTCTTTTTTAGATTATGGTGATTTCTATTCATGTCAGTGTCATTTAAAGCAAAATGTTGAAATAAATTTTGTTTCTTTTTTGTTGTAGCCTTCGAATACCTTTCAGAAGAATCCATTCCCTGCCAGTAAGTGAGAGTGGGATTGATTTTTTTTATACACGTTAA